CCTGTCCGTCTATAAAATATCTAAATAAAACCCATTATTTATTACTTCCAAACAATTTTTGGGTAAGAAAAGCATTAATTTTTTGGAGTGACTCTGCACAAGAAATTCTAAAAAATATGAATGCACTGGTAAAATTTTGCGCATTTTAGATAGGATTTATTCGTCAAAATTTTGAGATGACGTCAACAATTCTTGGGATGGGATAAACGGATAAATTTTGTAATTTTGATTACCGATTTACCAGGCTTACGATAATTTTAAAACGCTTGCTAGATTTCAGGAATCTAGCTGATAAGAAAAAAAGGTCTTTCTAGCCTCTTACATAACAGTTCCATGTGTTCCTCAGGAAGCAGCCTGGGACCAAAAAATTCCAAATATGTTCTAATATTTAACATTTTTGATAGAAGTTTATAGTAATACAAGGTTATTGAAGAGAAGCTCCTCGTCTAAAAAATTTTAATAGCAACTGGTAATAAAAGTACATAGTAGTCTTTGATATTTGCTATCACTATTTTTTGATAATTGGCAAATAAACGTCGTCTTCGTCCTTGGAATGCACCCTGCTTCAATTTTAATTTAAATATGAGTTTTTAAATTGAATTTCTGGTTGTGCCTTGAATTTTTAAGGCGTGGACCTTCTACTGAGTAACCCTATATAGACATATTAGTATACAGCGTGTTATTGAAAGGTACGTACAAAATAAAATCGGCAACTGGTCTCGAAGTATGGGTGCTAAAAGTTAAAAAAAGTTCAGGTAAAAGTGTTCTCCTTTTAGAGATAAAAAATATTAAAATTTATGTCAAAATTCATTGTACGCGTCTGATAAAAAGATCATCTCTCGTTTCTATAGCAACATTTAGTCTTGACAAAAGTTTTATTGTTACAGGTGCTAGGATTTACTAAAATAATTAGTTTTACCTATTTATCTTGCAGTAGCGTCTAAAAAGGTTGGGTAAGGGTTAATTTTCCCATTATAATTTTGATAACACAGACTTCTTAGACTTCGCGAAGAAGTGTCAATTTTGTTGTATGTACCTTTCAATAACACCCTGTATATTCGTGATTTCGTTAACATGTCTAACAATTTTAGATCAGCAGATTTTCATTTGTAAAACGTGTTTCGTATGAACATGTAAAAAAATACACATACAGAGTTTCTATAAATGATTATAGGGTCGAAGTAGGTTGTGGAAACGTGCCGCCTCTCACTTTTGAACTTTACTAAATGCCCAAAGACTAACACCCATCTGTAGAATTCTGTACAACTGGTTGTCAAAATGCTTCATATGTTATTAAAAAATAAAACTAATTCATTAAACAAATTTATTGCGGTTAAACATCACAGTAAATGTTGAAAATGTTCACTATTGTGTTGAAGACACATGTTCACTCTCTTTTTAATTTCAAAAATGTTTCGTAATATCCTTTCGTCAATACCCATTGATCAATTTCATGTTGCTATAGGCACTCCTAACTGCTGAGGAAATCTTGTCAAAGATGTTTGCGCATTGTGCTGGTCAAGCAATCTAAAATCATCAACAACTTCCTCAAATACTGAAAGTCTTCCAGGAGATTTCCCTTTGTCTACACTGCGAGTTCGAACAAATCTTTTGATTACATCTCTAGCGTGGGCCTCTAACGATGTTTCTTGAACTATGAAATCACGGTATTTGGCCAGGGTTTCTTGCTTACAAGCGGTTACAGAATACACACACTCTCCGTTTACGAATGTCCCATTGTGAGAATAAGATATAACAATGAAAGTGTCTTGTTCAACAGAATAAACCACTTTCATGGTCTTCGCTTCCTAGCACAAAAAGAAAAATTTTCCTAGCCAAGCACCAAGAGTTTCGAAAACGACTATTTTGTTGTTTTGAGCTTGGATCAACGAGAATTACTTAATTTACACACACGTTAAAACAATAAAAACGATGACACTAAATAACTGGTTACAAATGACATTAATGACAAGTGAAAACTGTCAAAATGAGGCATAATTTCAACGAAGCAGGATTTTTGAAATCCATTGCTAACTACGCCCTTAGAATCATTTATAAAAACACTAACACAACTGTTACTACAAGCAATAACTGATGGTGGTGGTATTAACCGTTAAAATTACAAGAAATCTTTCTGATGGCAGCTCGTAACTAACCCTTGTCTCTCAGGTAGATTGCGCGCAACTCAACTCCAGATTTTTTTTAACGCGTAAATAATCCAAAAATCAAGATGAATTCATACACTACACGTGTATGTACCTATGTCTTTCTATAAAATTTAAATAACATTTACCATGTAAGATTTTGAAGTGACGTCTTCGCATTTTTAGTGGGGATGATCAGATAAATTTCGGTTAGCGGTTTACCATCTACATGAAATTCCTAATATACATATAAAATTTGACAATCATCAGTCCGGTAGTTTGCGAGATTAATAAAAATAAACACAGACAGACGAAAATGGGACACCTATTGTTTCATATTGTAGGAGTCATGAAACGTCGAGAAAACATGTAAGTAGTCATTCGCCGAATGGTCCCCAATAAATGCAATAACTTATACTCTGTAAATAAAAATAATATGAAGCATCAAATATCATTTTCAAGTTGTCTTTCTGGTTGCGTTTTGAATTTTTTAGGCGCGAAGCTTCTCGTGAATAACTCAGTTTAAGAATTTGCTTGTTTGAATGTCCCTCAAATTATTTGGTGCAGCCGTTAGGGATACCAAATTAAAAAATATATGTATATATATATATACAGGGACTTTTTTTAACTCTGAACTTTTGAAAGTAAGTATAGGCTTATTTCCTATGTTCAGTTCAACTATAATTCAAACAAGTTGACATTTTTTAATGAAGAAGGCTAGATTCAACATTGGGCTTACACTCATTTCACGTGTTTAGATAAAAAATGGATCGGTATATAGCTATCAATAGTTGGGTACACGGTTTCCAACAGTGAATACTGCGTTATCTATAGTTTTCAAAATAAGTGCCTTATAGAAGATTATAGAAAATCGCATAGTTTACTGATTTGTCGACGGAAAGTCGTTATAAGCTGTTACATTACAGAGTTTCGGATTTTAGTATCTGAAAATAAACAGTTTTTGTTTACGATCAAAACTCATATAGCGAGCACAAGTGCGTCTGTAATTTTTGTCATTTGTTCCTTGCGGTTTCGTTACCGATTCGTGTAGTCTTGATGAAGTAAAAATAAACTTTTCGAGTTTACATCTCGAAACTGGCGATTAATGTAACATAAATTTGTAACCGATTTTTTATTTCAACGCTTTTCTCAAGCTCATAAAACATATGTTCGTTAACGAAAAGGTTTAAATTTACAAAAACGCGAAGAATTAAGATGGTATTATTGCTAGTATTGGTTAATATAAAATAACAACTAAATTCTACAAAAGTTCGATCTCGATTAATTTAATAGAGGATTAAAATGTAGAATATGAGCCCATGATTGGTTAAAACATGCACGTTGCCTAGCAACGGACCTCGGAATTCGCTTTCTGTAAACCGGGTCTACGTCTATTAAAAATTAAATTTTCGCAAAGTAGTTTGATGCCTTTATTGACGTTATCGTGTTCGATGTGCGTCTCCAGTTCTCTAAAAAATAGTAAACTCAGATATTGTATCCATACATTTGCATATCTTTAATGAACTGAAAGCTACACTGATCTTACAAAACGAAATATTAACAAACCGACGTTGCAAAACACCTGGAATCATTACTTTGATGCTTTTCACTCTAAAATTAGCAGCGTTGCAGTCAACAATATCTTACCGAACGAGCTAATGTATTAAATAATGTTTTATGTACGAGCTTTTTATCATTATGATTAAATTATGCCACGTCAGGTCACCGACAAATAAAAATTAGTAATATCCGCTTGCATCAAAAATATTCTTTATATTGTTTTATAAATCGTGAACAGGTGATAACACAATTTTTAATAGTTTCATTTCTATTTTTAATTCAACATGAGTTATTTTTTATATTATTTTTCATTTCTTTGTGGGCGTAAACCTGACAAAGTCTTTCACTAATTCTGAGTTGCTTCGTCACCAAAAAACGTGTTGAATTCTGGTCAATTAATTACAATTTCATCGTGTAATGGTAAAACGGTCGTGTAGTAACATTATGTCAAATGGTGGACTTACTTTTATTAACATATTGGCAAAATTCCATGATTTATTTTACTTGTTAGGTTATGTCGTTATGGGTTGTATTGTTTCGTGAGAATATACATAAACATCGCGAAATATACAACAGCACCGATGACTAATACGTAATTGACAGCAGAAGCAGGTGAATTAAATGAAGTTAACTACAGCGGAAAAAGAAGCACTCTGTGAGTCAGTAAACTCACCTATCATGAATTTTACGTTAATTTAAATTAGTGATTTTTCGAGGTTGTGTAAACTTAATGAAGATTGACGTATCTAAGATTGAAAACATTTGTCTTGAGAACGCATCAAGTATAATTACCGGGTCCGAAATAGAATTTGAAATCATAATCTACGGACAAACGCTAAAATTAAATAAATCATCACGGCATTCTTTAGATGCGAGCCAGAAAACAAAACTAGACTGTCATATGATGATCGGCTATTAAAAGATCTCCGGTCGTCATTAACGATTCTATATATTCACAAAGCAAATCAATCATTATCCAAGTTAATCTTAGACTCATATTAACTTTCAAGCTTACACAGAGTCCTGAAAACTTGTAACATAGTTCACGTTTAATAACATATTTCATCTGCACCCCAAAGCAGAACATAAATAATAACAAAGTGGACTATTGGACGAAAGTCTGACCACGCGAAGGTTTATTACTTTTTAAACACATGTTATTAATTGCGGTGACAATTTTTAACTTATAATTCGGTTTATTTAGATCTAAATTTGCAAACGCTGTCATCTCCCAAATTATATTTTATTTATCTGCGATAAATAGCGATTCTATTTTTGTTATTTCGTTTGTTTCAGGCACTCCCATTAACAGATTGCCTATAATGGCAAAATCCGTATTAGACCTCTACGAACTGTACAATTTGGTTATAGCACGTGGCGGACTCGTGGATGTTATCAATAAGAAGTTATGGCAGGAAATAATCAAGGGATTACATTTACCTTCTTCGATAACTTCAGCGGCATTTACATTAAGAACTCAGTAAGTATAGATGCATCCAGAAGTACCCATATGACGTAGAATTACAGAAACATTTGACTTTAGATTTTCTTTTTTTCGGTAAAATCTTATCATTACGTTATTACGTAAAGTAGGAGTTTTTTTATAAGCACAACACCCTTAACACTGCACAATTTTTAATTTTTATATAAAATAATGTTTTACTGCCCGAGTGTAAGTTGGCGAAGTATTATAACAGTGTTCACTTGGCGAATAACTAATTTCATGTTTTTTTGACGTTTCGTAACTCTATATGAATGAAAAAGTCAGTTTATTCAATATAATCTCCAACTACTGTACTAATCCTTGTTAAAAATGACGTGTATTTTAGGACTATCATGTAAATTGTAAAACGCTAACCAAAATTTTTCTAGTCATCCCCACCAAGAATTTGAACATTTCAAAATTCTATAGAAATTTGACAAAATAAAAATTATTAATCTCCCTTATTTTTTCCTTATACATCTAGATTTTTGGAAACAAAATATAAATTTAAAATTACACAACAACAATGTACAACTCTATTTATTGTATAAACCACTTGGAAACTATAAAAGTGCTGATACATTCGTAATGGAAATAAATGCATATTACAAAGTAAGTACATAGTTACCTGTGATAAAATAACGTTATTATTTCTTTTTTAAATTGTTAAACAGTACACTACAGTATAGTATTGTCATGTTTATTTTATAAAAGGATACCTGGTAAAATAGAATAAGTAGTCTCCTATTACATAGTTAAAAGTTTAATTTACAACAGCTGCAAAAAAACTAAGTTTTATTTGATCTTCTGCATAATCCCTAGTTTCTCCTTACGGCCAAATAGTTTTTTCTTTTATCTTTTCTATTTGTGTTTTGTAATGATAGTTAAACATGACTCATTGGCAGTAACATTTCAGGTTAAATCCCATATTACCTTGTACAATGTTAAATGTTCTATAATAATGGAACATAATATGTTAACATGTCTAATGTAGGAAGACCAGTCGCCACGTTTTCTGGATGGAATTTTTGGTACATTTTCAGAAGTAATATCTACATTAACAGACAGACTTATGGTTGTGAAATTTTAAATATATGTAACTTTTATAACTTCCCTTAAGTGGGATTTATAAACTTGCTGTTGACGTTGAAGTTCCCGTTGTAGTTGCTGTTCCCGCTAACGTTGCTTTTAGGGCTGAAAATTGTCATTTCTAAACTCCGTTGCCAAGTTACCGTTGATAGTAACTTTGATGTTCAACTTTTGCCGTATTTAAAGGGCTTGTAGAAGAAAAGTGAAGGATTTAAGTTGATTGCTACAAAAAAATCACCATTTTAGACATGTTTTAAGTTTCTTATTGTCGAAATAAGTCTACACATACTAAGAAAAAAGGGCAAAATGTAGTGTAATCTCAATTGTGATGATTCTTTTTTAATCGTTGAGAGCCAAAGGAGTGGAATTTAAGTGTAAAATTCTTATTATTTCTCTACAAGAAATTCCCATGTAAGTAATGTTTTTGAGAATCGTGTTATTCAAAGAATACTATGTATATTAAGAAAAAAATTAAAGCCAAAGATTAACCCCACCCATACCTACCCTGATTTAAATAGTAATGCAGTTTTCATTCGTTGGCATACTTAGAGGAGGAGCCTAATTGCAAAACCCATACGTCTGTACAAAAATTTACCATTTTGAACGTTTTTTAAGTTGTTAAGAATAAAAAAATCATCACAATTGAGAGGGGGTGGGTGGGCGGGGTTTATATTTTGCCTTTTTTTCTTAATATACATAGTATTCTTTGAGCTACACGATCCTCAAACACATGTTTTTAATTTCTTCTAAATAAATAAGTATTTTGCAGTTAAGCTCCGCCCCCTTCGTATATGGCAAACAAAAAGATCATCACAATTGAGATAGGGTGGGTCTGGCGGACTTACATTTTCCCTTTTTGTTTTATTATGTACCTATAGAATTCTTTTCACAACATGAAATTAAAAATATGTTTAAAAACATCGATTTTGCGATTAGGCTCCGCCCCATATTTCCTTGCAAAAATGTACTATTTTAACCATATTTGAAGTTTCTTGTTGTGAAAATATGGCCACATATATTAAGCAAAAAAAAGGCAAAATATAAGCCCCGCCCACCCACCCTATCTCAATTCTGTTGATGTTTTTTATTCGTTTGAGCCAAGGGGGCGGAGCTTAACTGCAAAATCCTTATTTCTCTATAAGAAATAAAAAGCATGTTTTTGAGTATCGTGTTGTTCAAAGAATACTATGTATATGAAGTAAAACACAAGCCAAAAATTAAGCCCCACCCATATCCATCCCAAGTTCATTTGTAATGAATTTTTCATTCGTTTTCAGACCGAGAGGCTGAGCCTAATTGCAAAATCGATACTTCGTACAAAAATTTACTATTTTAAACACGTTTTACCTTTCTTGTTATGAAAAGAAGAGTAGCAATATTAAAAAAAAAGGCAAAATGGAAGTCCTTGTAGTTATAATACCCAATCTGTTTTTAAGACGAATAGCAATAAATCTTGTCGATCTAAACGTCGAGAACTCTTTTTAACACCGCGTAAGTACTGACAAAAAGCTATAGTGTAGAAAATGATGGCAGCTGTTTAAAAGATGAGGGTTTCGCTGAACAGGTGATTAATTGGGTTAATATTAATGGACAACATTATTTCTATTAAAATTTGATTTTCGTGGAATTAATGTTGTCAACCAGAAAAATGTAATCCCTACTTTAGGGGATTTTCCTTAGCATTGCACTACCGCAATTTGATTAGCTGAAAACCCAACGTCAACGGCAACGTAACGGTGAAAGTTAAACGTGGGTCATCTCGAACATCACCCCTACGGCGTGCCAATTTTCAACGGCAATGTCAACGGATGATATAAACGACGCATACCTTCGCTGCGTCACAACAGCAAACAGCAACGTCAGCGACAAGTTTATAAGTCGACCTAGGTTTTGTTAAAAACATTTTGGATCATCCTTTTTTTTTAAATTTTATTGAAATTTTTGCATACGTGTTTTTAAAAATCAATATCTCAATTATTTAAGGAAATTTGCGAACACGGTTTTAAACACTGTTTTCAGCTTACAAAATTCCAGAAATCGTACATACCAGATATATCGTTGACTTTTTTTGTTAGAAACGATACACAGTGAAAAAAGCTTGTGTTCTAGGAGCTGTTGAACGTTTATTTTTACTATATCTCAATTCCAACAAATAAAATCGAAAAAATGTCTGGTACGATTTCTAAAGTTTTGTAAATTGAAAACAGTGGTGAAAATCGCGTTCCAAAATTTCCATAAATAACTAAAATATTGATTTTTGGTGTAAAAATTTCAACAATTTAAAAAAAATATGTTATAATCAACTGTTTAATAACAACTGCCCTGGTATTATAAAGTGAAAGTTGTGGATTGTTGCATTAAATTTTATAACAATAAGTATGTTACTAACGGAGATATTACATTCTGAAAATATACTGACAACACTATAAGAACGTAGTGACTTTAAATAAATTCTTAGGTAGGTTCTAAGACAAACTGTAAAATTTTATTTTACTAATTTTTGCTGTTGGGTACTGTTTTACTCCATCAACACAGTAATCTTAAATCACACCTAAAATTTTACAAAAATCTGTTGTCGTCAACAGACAGATAACTGACGGACAGACAGACGGAAACAGGAGATCGACCTTACATTTCCGAAGTGAAAATTGGTTTAAAGTTATTTAGATACAATTTTTCTCGTATCTGACGTATGATCACCTACTTCCGTGGATAAATTGTAGAAATTTGTTTTGCATTTTTTTAATATATTACCTATATAGACGTCCGGAATGTCGCCAACGTCCCAAAGGGTACATTATCGAGCAAAATATTTAAAAAAATCTTTCTCGCATTTTGGCAGAGATAATTACTATTTCTCTTGCAATAGACAAAGTTATGATTTGATCACACTACAAATTTCAGTAAGATGTACTTCACAAAATGTTAACATGACATCACTACATATACGCGTTTATCATATTCACGATGACTTTAAAAAAGTTAGCAAAATTTTGAATTTTATTCCAAAAATCTACACGTATAAGGTTAAAAACAACGTGGATTTACAAATTACAGGTCTATAGAACAATTTTATTTTCTCCATTTTAATATTTTTAATAGGGGTGACCAGACCAATTTTGGTTAGTGTTTTATCACTTACGCTATATTTTTAAAATGCTCGTAAGTTGTCACCGAAATTACTTCGGTAGTTTCGAAGAGTTTAATAGAATCAGTAACAGACTACAGATAGGTGGAAACGGGGAGACCTACATTTTCATCTCCCTAGCGTACGTTCAGTCAAATGACAACAATGACAATGTGAAAGGTGACATTTCATGGTTAAGAGATAGATAGACTCGACTATTTTATAAAAGACAAGAATAAATAAACCTGTAGTGATTGATATGCAGCATAAGATTAACCAAAAGATTCCTGAGGTTATAATATTTTCCATTCTTGGTGTTGCTTACACTTTCCCAAATTTTACAAGCTAGACCGCATGAGACTGTCAAGTAGTAACAAAAGGGATGGAAAGCTGTATCCAAAAGCTTTTGTTCACCCTGCTAATCAAACGTGTATAAAATTAGATATCAAATGATGATTTCTTATAACAAACGGACTACTTTTTTTAACATCCCCCTGTAGTGTAATGCCAATGCAAGATTTGTCCGGTCTGAAGGTCCAGAGCATTTTATGTTTGACTGTTCTTAAATATCAGTTTATAGCATATGATTTAAATTTTTATTAACGTTAGGTTGTAAATCACCGCTAGACATTTCTGGCAGTTTATGTTAAGCTCCAATAATGTTTTTATTTTTTTCATTGTCTTTTTATGTTGCAACGGCTTATTGCCTGGTATTTATGATTAAACATAACGTGTGGATATAGCTTCCAAGAAACCACACTCTCAGATCGCCGTTTCGAGCGTATTTAATCGAAATCGTAACATCTCTTTTGTAAACTGTTTGTAAAGATAGAAAGAATTCTTTACTGTCATTTAATTAACTTCATGTTTATTTTAAATCGCACATTAATTGATTTTTTTTGACGTGTTATTAATTAAAAATGATTCACTCTCGTCTATGTGGTAATCCGTCAGCCACCATTCCTTGATCTTAATATAGAACTGATCATTTATCTAGTAAGCGTAGCTGTCATCTGTCAGACTTGGTTAAATATGTTTGATGCCAAGTACAACGCTATTAAACGGGACACAACCTCCTCATTATAATCAGCATTGTCTCGTACTCCACATAAAACCTTCTTTAACAATGGCAATTTCATAAAACTGCCAGCTTGTGCATAAACAACAAACCATTCGTCACTTTTCTTTTGCACACCCAATCATGGGCTCAACCTGTTATTATGAGTTTTTTTTTAGAAGTTCACCTCCCCTTTTTGATTGTTGAAATATTTTCTAGAATTTATCTGTAAATCACACATTCTCGAATTCGAGAATTTAAAGTAAATTGTGAAGTAATATAAATTTAACTGCATCAGTGTTTTATACACGATTATGGTTGAGTGGGTGAAAAACAGCAAACGAACGTCAAGTAAAGCAAATACATATTATTAAAAGTTCATATCCAAGATAATTTTGCCTTAATAAATAGATCTTTAGTTCTTTAGTTAACCGTGTTCAAATATTTCGTTGTGATCTAGTAATTATCGTAGTCGAATCTTTTGAAGTTGAGGTGAAAAATTACTATAGTTGCAAGTAATAAGTTCCTCAAAGGTCATTTAACAAATAACAATATAAATAGGTGGCTGATGTTAGGCAGATGTTAAATTATAAAGTAAAGTATTAACAAACCTGATCGTTAAATATTGCTCCTGATGGTTTTACTATCACACTGTTTCTACTCTTATTAGTTATTTTATTTTTTGATACACAAGAACAGTCTACACTTAATTTGTGAAAATGTTGAAGCTTTAGCCACTTCATTCAAATGTCAAAGTAGTAGAATAACAAGTGACAAAGTTTAAACATTCCCTACATTCACTCGAAATAGGTGACACTACGGAATTTTTTCATTATTTTGTGGGGATATTTCCAACAAGATGTTGCTGCGGCCCAGACGACTAATGTAACAATCGCATACGTTGAAGAATATTTTGACGAACGCTTGGTTTCGGTTGATTTGTGACCTCCCAGATCCCTGGGCCTGACTTCTTTTTTTTTTATTCGACCGTATTAAACTTGCCGCATTCGAGAATCACATTATTAACATTAAAAAACTGAAAAATGCTGTTATACTGAAGATCGTCAGGTTATATCACTTCGATGTTAATGTTTTTATATTTTGAACAATTTTTGTAAATTTATTTTAAACATTTTTCCAAAGTTAAATTTATTTTCAATTTTTAGGCAACCAGTAATACTCAACAGAAAAATAAATATGACGTACATAAAAACAAGTCGTTTACTTTTCTAAAGAACTCTGATTAAAGTTGATCTGAATCGCCCGGTATATTAACTTTAATTTGTATAATGTAACTCATATTAACGTTACTATGTGATTAATACTATGTGACTGTAAAAACATCACCTCGACATCGGTAATAAAGAGCCACCATTAAAAAAATCGTACTTTGACAATTAAATATTGACATGAAAAAGTTAGTATTTTCCACAGCTGTACAAAGTACAATATTACATACTATTACATCGTTTGTATTAATTTATTTAAAAATCTGTCACGACGGAAACGAATAAGCACCCAGAACCCTTAAATTTATTCTGAATAATGTCGTTACATCATATTAGATAACTGGTATTTGTTTTTTTTTAATCATGAAGTTACTTAAAAACTTCCATATTTTTTAAATAATTCGACAAACCTACTGACTACACTTTTTTTTCAAATTATTTTTTCCAAATTATTATGTGAGGATTAATAAACAAACTGATTGCATGTTCCTTTCTAGATATATGAAATATTTGTACCCCTACGAACACGAGAAGCTTAAACTCAGCACACCTGCAGATCTTCAAGCCGCAATCGATGGTAACCGTCGGGAAGGCCGTCGCAGTAGTTATGGTCAATATGACACAGTACAACGTTCACCAAATCCATCCCAAATGTCACCCCTATCACTAGTCTCGCAACAGCAACAGTTAGCTGCCCGCATGAGCTCCGTCATGAGTGGTGGTATGGGTCTGCACAATGGTGCTCATCATCCGAGTCATCCGCAACCTTTGGGTCAACCACTAAATGGTGGTCCTCTGCCTGGTTTGGCCCCGAATGAATTTGAAGCTCGTATGATGGAATACGTTAAACTTCTGAATAAAGAGATTAGGACTTCTGCGGCAACTCCGCCTAGACCGGGCGAGATCTCACCACCCAACGCTACATCTCCTCTTAATCCGTTGGAATTGTCACGAATAACACTCTGGAATATGTATAATAACAATCAAACGCCGGTGGAACCTCAAAAAGAAGCCCTTAATTTATCCGAGCCCGCACAAGCTTCGATTAAGCGGGAACCGGAACACAGGGATTCGCCTCCACCGAAAAAGTTTTCTAAAGACGAAGAAGACCATAAATCGATTTCACCTGCCACACATATCAAAATTAATAGCAGAGGTAAGAGAAAAAACAAATACCTAGTAGTATTAACGTTATTTTTTGGTTACGCTATTTTTATTGTCAATTGTACTGGTATTTTTGTTTTACGATTTATATCAGAATTAATTGCATCGTGCTGTCAGCAAAATAAATGATCGAAGTGGACGAAATTCGTTGTGCGAACTGCATTTGCACGAAATTAACCACGTCAATTGTCTGCATGATTAATGACGTATTTCACTTACAGGGGATGCCCGCAACGGAGAGAGTTCCTTAGTAGTCAGTATGGAATTAAATGGGATTACTTACCAAGGAGTCCTGTTCGCGCAAACTTCGCCATCTAGTAGTAGAACTGCTCTAACTTCCTCTTAAGGGATCAGAGCGAATGAATGTGATGTAGAAATCTGATGATTTCTTGAGGATGAACTTTATTTTATTAATATTTATTTTTTTTTATCGCGTGTTTTTAGTGATATACCTAGTGCTTGTTCATAGACTTCATCAATAGATGATACAGACGCATTTTACAAAATATTGTGTTATAAAGTTTAATTCAACTTTATTTTACTTAAATAAATAATTAAAAATCCATATGACACAGTGTTAGATATGTACATGTTGCTTAGTACAAAATAAATGTGTTGTGGTAAACTGATAGTTTAGTACAGCTTATAACACACTGATGTGAAAAATTTACGGAAAAACCAGTTTTTTTTTTTTAAATAGCAGAGGGTGTCTAAATAGAAACCTGGTTAAGAGTGTTTTGGCATCAACTTTTTTTCCGTATGTCGTGTCCGAAATGAATTTTGAAATCTTTAAACTGAGTTGAACATCGAAATGACAACTATCTTGCACACGATGACGATACGACATACGGAAAAAAAATTAAAATCGGAGCTCTTTTGACCAAATGTTTAATTAGGCACCCGTTATTTATTATAGATAAAAAAACTGTGTGGTAAAATTTTTTATCAATCAACAAATTTACAGTATTTAGTCATATGGACTTCTACTTAATACGTGGCCAGTTTACTTTTACTGTTGGTACCTATGCAACATTAATAATCACATTTTTATTAAGAAGTCATCACTTGTAATTACGTGCAATGTATTCAAAAACTTCAGTGTAACGTCTAGACATATTTATTTTTAAATATTAATATTCAACTATTATGAATTTCTTTTGTACACATTTGCGCATAAAAAAAGCGTACAACCCTTTGGAGCAAATTTTATAATTTTTAAGCTATGCGAAAATTGTTTTTCAATGTTGCTAAAATTAAATACTAATAAAACATTCAATTACACAACTAAAATGTATGCTTTTCCGTGGAACAGTGGTGTAACTTTAGTACAAAATATAAAATTAAAAATAAATTGCTGCTTGACAAGTTTTTGAATAGATTGTGTATCTGTCTGTACTGTACTAAATTTTATTAATTATTTTAATATCACATAAAAAATATAGTTTTAATAATAATAATAATTTTATGACCATTCTATTAGTCATAAAAATTTTTCATTCAATTATTAAAACTATATTTTTTAATTTATAGAAATTCGACTATGGAATATTTTTGTTCTTTTGTACATAGATAGTATAATTAGTAGCAGTATTGAGGTTATAGTTGTGTGTTATATATATTTTTTGTATATCTACCAAAAGACTGTTATTTTATTATTTTTTAAACATATTATCCTAAAATAGATCAGTTACTTATTTATTAAGTCATTCGTAAGTTAATATACGTGTAGCAATATTAGTCAATAAGAATAGATCATACGCATTGTAAGTATTGTAGTTTTAGAGTTTTAGAAGTAGAAATTGTAGGTAGAAATGTTAAAAATGATTATCCCCGAAAACCAAACGTATGAAAATTTATTAATTTTTGATCTGATTATCTCAGGGATATTTTACGGTATTTTGCAAAACATATTCCTGCTTTTACTGTGTTCTAGTTTTTGTTAAATGTATTTGTATGAAAGGACGAACGTTTTCATATCATGATGTTCAATGTCTACTGTAAATATACTTATCAATAGACATATTCATAAATAATGTTTTTTAATTTACTCAATACTATCGATTAAACATATAGAATTAATCCCAACTGCGGATTTGTTGCGATCAATTGACTGGCTGGAGAACATCAAAGCGGCAGAGGATAGGTATACATGATAGTAATTGTTGCTCTGGCGCCCTCTACAGTCTAGTAGTGTTACACTTCTGTTATTGAAAGGAAACATCAACTACAAAAGTGCCATCTAGTGACGTATAGTGTCATTCTTAACTTAAAATGGTTCTTTAGTTGTTTATCTCACAAATGTAGATTAGAAACGTCGATATACTTTCACATAATATGTAGATGTCTATACCTGGCCAGGGTTCTTGAAGTGAATAATAAATCGCTTTTTATTAGGTATTACTATTAAGGTGGGCGAATTGGGTGGAAATTAAAAGAGAGGAATTTGACTTATTCCCTATACAAGGACAGTACGAGATTGGTAATTTTCTTTATAAATTTATTCTTGGCACCCAAGTCGAAAATGTAAAAAAATTGCGTTTTGAGCAATTAGTGTAGCGTGGACACACAGACTATTTAGCTTACCTTCATATCATACTAATGTTAGCCTGCTTCTTTGTAAGGTAAATTCTTTCGAGTGCTAGACAACACAGTGAAATATACTGTCTGATGAGCAAAAAAGGTCGAAACTGCAGTCTACAATTTTTCGTTGTTGTCTAGCTTTTCGGGTTAATAATTCTTTGCTTCTGCTTCTTCTAATATAATGAGAGTAATTCAAACAAATTGACATTTAGTTTTTTTTAATCAAGCAAGTTGATGTAACATTGGTTGCATACTTCTAATGTATCTGTATTTTTTAAAACTGAACGACTGGACATATATAATAAGCATTCACGTTCGGTAGAAGTAACTGACAGAAACTTTTCTGTGGTTAAGTTGCAATCTTAAGATCACTAGAAATTTAAGATTGGCATCAACTGTCTAATTTTCTAATTCAAATGTCAAATCTGAATTGTCTGGAAAAAAACCGAAGATTTTCTAATTTCAACACGCTTCGTTTCAAGAAAATCCTTAAATACAACATGGAAACAATTTCCATAAAAGTAGTCACGAGAAAGCCCATTTTAAAGGAAAAGAAACAAGAAATATTTCGTGGTTTTCAAAAAATTGGGTAAAGCAGAAACAGTTAAACTGGTGGCAGAAATATTCTCCATAAAGTTCGCTAGTGTTGTCGAGTGTTTTTCGAATTTTAAAATAATACAGATACAACGGCGCTGGTGCCGTTAATATTATAATCAGAATCAGAAAGACGACTGCGCAGATTTATATACCTACATGCTTTGTTGGTTCCGTTCTACAATTGGTTTTTAAGTTTTATATAATTGTTATTGTTTTGTAAGACGGAAAACACTCGGCTTTGAAAATAATTGTACGTAATACACGTATAGATTTAGGTTTCCGATGGCGAAGTTTTTCACATTTTAAACACGTTATAGCTGCCAGAATCAAATTTCTAAGGCGGTACCTATCTCAAGTTGCGTGATTGTGGTGAAGATTTACTTTTCATTTTCTTGGATGAGACATGGATATACCAGAACGGATCCATGGTGAAATTGTGAATCCATGATGATGACATCAAAGCTTGTCCTCCTAAAATAACTAGTGAAGGGAAAAGATTCACAATTTTACATGCGGGTTGGTCTTTGGGCTTTTAGAGGGATGCGATTTTCTCCTTGATTCAAAAATAGATTCACCAGATTACCACAAAACCATCACATTTTCGATATTTGACAGTTACTTACTTACATGTCACATTTTTGATACTTTCTGACATTCCAGTAATACATTATACACTAGAACAATTATGTCCGCAGTTACACAGCTTAAAAAAAAAGTTACCAAATCTAGTTACATCTACCGAACGTGAATTCCTTATAGGTTCAAGTTTAAAAAATGTCCCAGTATATTTCTGTCTCAGTTGCCACAATAAGTCTGCATTATCCAATCACATTAACGCAACCATTCATACATTTGTTAACAGTCTTAATATTTATTTATTTTCATTATTACAAGTTACAATTTTTTTTTAAGTAAAATTTAGTAATATGTTTGTTTTTTATAGCATGGAAAAAGTCAATTTTTTAGATTAAAACCAGAAACAAACCGCATGTTTCTGCGCTCACCATGTATCAAAATCATCAGTTTTTCGTCGTTTGAATACCTATATTTTCCTCGAAAATGGTATTGAATTTGAGCGCAAATGACTAATTTAGAAGATAATTACCTTTTCATTCTCCTACACGCGGAAATTCTTGTTCTGTGGATCAACTGGTTATTGGAATTTGTTCGAATGAAAATGTGTGTGTATATTTGGTTGCCTATGTTTGGGGAGTAATTAATAGCTTGCGAGCCGGAAGTTAGACCTATGTTATGGTGTGTAGACACAATAATGCCTCATGTATGGTCCATTGGTGCATTTTGCCGAAATGTCAATTTTAACGTGATAATATTTGAAATCACATTAATGTTGTTACAAGAAACTCTTTCTTACAGTCCTTAAAATATGCGAAAATAAAGCAAAACACCAATTTCACTCTTGCCATAGCACTTGAAGACTTATGCGACATGTATTTGTTGGCAATACAAAAATCTACACGGGAATAATGTTTACATTGAATTAAAAAAGGCTTTCGTTTAAAAAATAAAGGTAAAAACCGAAAAACCATTTTTTCTTTTAAAGACAAAATTATATTTTGCCGTTTAAAGAGCTGACAGTGTAGCTGTAGAGAATAGTATTCCTTTTCCGGGGATAATATTCATTTTTTTGTTAAACTATCCATTTTTTAGTTAGAGCACTGTGTTCCGTTTAGAAATCATCTTTTATTTTTCTTTAATCGTGAACACTAATTCTGTGTGATTTCGAAAGATTCCACAATATAGGAATACCATGTGCTCGAAAAAAAAAACTCCTAGTAGGCCGTACAATTTATTTTTAAAATAATAATAATGTTGGCCTTGCAACTACCGAGTGAGTGTAATTTTTTTGTCAAGTTAGTAACATATTTCAAATTTATGTTGGCATACCTGACGTAAAACTAAAATTTGGGCATTATTTGAGTAGCTTCCATCTTTTTCTTGCTTTCTTAGGCGCCCTCATGTTAAATTGACAACTGTGAACTAACATGTTGATATTGCTGCCAATAGTTCATAATTACCAACCGCAAAGTTTGCTTTAATCATTAATAATAGTCACCCGGTATTTGATCCTTTCTTTGACCCTAATTGTCAAACTGAATAAGAAACACGAGTTTTTTTTTTTTTCTCTCTCATATGGTATAATATACAGGGTGATTTTTTTAACCTGAAAGTCTCAAATATTTCGAAAAATAAGCATTCTGCGAAAAAATGTCCAGAATGAAAATTTAATCATGCCGTGGAGGAAATACATTAGTGTTGAAATTTGTTTGAAACATTTTTTTTCGATTCATGATAAATGGCGAACTAAGATCTGGTAATCTGGCAGGCCAATTTACCGAAACAGCTCTACCTATCCAGTCATGAATATAAAAAAAGAACATTTTAAACAAACTCTACGTACTTTTAGCTGTAGAATCCGAATCTGCAATAAAAATTCGGGGTTCCTATTTAAAATTTCAAAGTTACGCCCCGCCACAGCTACAAAGGAGGGGGGAGGGAGACTAATTTTTGCACGTATTTCCCCTATGGAATAATTTAATTTTGAATCTGGCCATTTTTTTTTCCGGGTGGCTTATTTTTCGAGATATTTGAAATTTCCATATTAAAAGTCATCCTGTATATGGTATATGGGTATGACAAACATTTTCTAATTAAAAACTGCATTAACGGATTCCGTAAACTCTAGCTTCAACAATCAAGTTTCAGCAGTTTCATACATAACGCTTCTATCCGTCGTCATAAAATTTAATCAATACTCGGTCATACGGTCGTATAATATAATTATTTGATAGGGTAGGAAACTCAGAATTTAAAATGGTCTTTTCTCGAAGGCATCCCAGGAGACCATCGGAAGTTAAAGCGCCTAGCGCCATCTAGTGGATATTATGGTAATATTTTCTAACAAGAATGAAATTAGCGTAAACATATTCTTGAATGCAAGCTGTGCAGATAAAAATTGTTATCTATTTTGTGTATATAGGATGGGTTCTATGGCGTCTTTGTGAAAAATAAAATAAATATAAAAATACTATCACGTTAAATGTCAGTAAACACTAATTAATTTATGTGCTATCATATCTCTTATTCTATTGACGCAGACTGTCAGATTGATGCCATTTTGATTTATCAAAGGAACATGTAAATTAGACCAAAATATTCTTTTGACTAAAAAACTTTTGTGCACTTAAAACTAAATAAATCTTTATTCCGAAACACGTTCTAATATGGAATGGTTAGTGCTTCAGTAGCGAGGGAAGTTATGTCTTTATAACTTTGACGAGTTTTTTACGTGGCAGTCAGTATAGAGTAAATTTAAGTACTAAATTCATTGATGTACGCGAATAATGGCTTTTATGTTTCTCGAATAAACCAATCTGCCTTTAGTAGCGATAATAGTAAAATTTCAGGCTGCTAACTTTGTAAGGCACCTTTTGTTTGTAAGGTTTTCTAAGACGTTAGGCTCGTTCAGTTGCGGCGGGCCAAAGTCAATTTTTAATTTACGCTAATTAAGAATAAAGAAAACTGTTAATAGCGTTTTTGTTAATTAAACTAAATGTTAATAAAAAACACCCATATTAAAACAAAGAACAAGTTTTATTTTGCAGCCAGTGCTCAAGGGGTTGCCGTCTGTATACTTCCTGACAGTAATGAAGGCGTTGAATAAATAAGTTCTGTGGGAGTCTCAAACCCTGGGTTACAGTAACGTTTTCATTAGTGCGGTCAATAAAAACGTTCTCAAGCTGGTGCAAAGAAAAAAAAAGGTGCCAATGTGAGGACATTTTTTCTTGATTGTACGTTATTATAAATGTCATACATGTATAAACTTTACGACAGTCTT